GCAGCGAAGCCTGCCACCCCCTGTGCGCGCACCCCCCCGGTCCGACCACCCCCTCCCCCGAACGCGCCAGCCAGCCACCCTCCACCTTCCATCACCCTCCACCCTCTCCGACTACCTGCCGGTTTGGCCGGCTCTACACCGCCGATCCGCCAGCGCTCCCCCCCCCTCTCTCCCGGCATCCCCCGCCATCCCTTCCCAGTTAGAAAACCCCTTTCCTAACTCGCACGACCCAACCCCGCCGCCAGTGGCCGCCGACCGCCGTGCATCCTTCCGCTGTGCCCTCGCGACCCTGCCGACCCTCCGTCGCGCGGTAGGGATTGAAAGGGAAGTGTGTGTTGTACCGATAAGTAAGCGTGCGGACTTGTGTGTACGTGTGGTGGCCGACTGTGCAGCAGCACGCAGCAGCACGTGGGGGAGAGGAGGCTTCCCGGACATTCGGAGCGAATTGCTCGGTGGGAGACGAGAAGTTCGGCGAAATTATTTATCGCTCGCTTTCCGCGGGGATGAAGCTTGCCAAACTTAATTCCGCGGTCACCGGCGCAGCTGTCGCGAATACCGTGCGCTTCGGCTCTCCTTCCGGATTTTCTACACAGCGTTCTCTCTCTCTTTCTTTCTCTCTCTCTCTCTCTCTCTCTCTCACTTACTCTCTCGTCACACTCCCGTCACGCCACGAATTTGTACAAATGTATTCGCGTGTCGCCGAGTCTCTTCCTTTTTCTTATTCGGTTAAACCATTGTCTACCTGAGAGGGAAAAGATCATATATGAAATTTGAGCGTGTATGACTATATATGATCGTACGATGCTACGTGACATCGGCCAGATATCTCTGGTTTCTGCACATTTTGCAAGTTTCACGTTTACGAAACCAGAATGTTTTTCAGGGGAAACTGAAAAGTAAATTATGAAACGCAAGAAACATGCCGCATGTTATTTCTCGCTTATGACGTTATAAAACCGATATGGCTGCACGAGATAACCGAGATAGCCTTTAAAATCGCGTTTAGCAATCGACATAATTACAAAAATAACGAATATTGCTTTATTATGCAAAGTTAGTTTCAGTTAGCATCATAGTGTGCATCAAACCTGATAGAAAAATATTATTTGTCCTAATAAATTGGTCAATGATAAATTACTGTCTTTAGTTTTATTATTCATATATATATATTTTTTTTTCCCCCGGGGCGCGTCATCACAAATAAAACATAGAAGCAACTAGTACATATAATCTCTATAAAATTCATTCTGTTCTCTTTTATTATCGTCACCGCTGTCGTCGTCGTTGTAGTTAAAGTTATCATCCTGTCATCAATAACTTCTTTACCCCAGGCACTGTTTCACTCACTGATTACGAGTCGATGGAAAATAGGAGGTTGACCGCGTTCCCGCGCGCGCTAATTAACATGACGCGAATATCTACCTCCCTCCGTCACTTTGTACGACATTCTCGACGTTTACACGTACGCACGATGCTCCTCGAACGGATAAGTAAATGCGACGTGCAATTGTCGTCCGTTGTGTAAAGACCTTAGTCAAATGGCTGACTGGTAACTTTAAGACAACTTTTTGTGTCCTAGATCTTTGTCTAAACTATCATTTATACTTATTCCTTTTTATCATATAACAGCTGTCAGACTGAAAAAAGTGTTACTGTGACTCCAGGCATAAGACAGTTATTGTGCGTTACTTAAAAGACAAAGACCTAAGGCGTAAAATGTCTTGAATTGATAAAGCAGCCTTTCTACCAAAGTACCTTCCTTGGTTTCTCGTTCTTCGTTGGAAAAAATGTGTCACGTGTGATAGTGCGCAGAACGGCAACTCGATACATTCAAATGAAGCACTCGAAGCCAGCGACTTCTCTAAACGCGATTTTATTTTTTCTATCAAAGGCTATCTCGGTTATCTCGTGCAGCCATATCGGTTTTATAACGTCATAAGCGAGAAATAACATGCGGAATGTTTCTTGCGTTTCATAGTTCACTTTTCAGTTTCCCCTGAAAAACATTCTGGTTTCGTAAACGTGAAATTTGCAAAATGTGCAGAAATCAGAGATATCTGGCCGATGTCACGTAGCATCGTACGATCATATATAGTCATACACAATCAAATTTACGTCTCATATCGTCCCGAAACAAATCAGCCACCAAATTCAAGGAGACGATTAATTACCCCCGAACGTCTTAATCACCTTGAAAGTTCAGTCGACATTGCCGATGCTCGATCCCGCGCCGATTCGAGCCGGCGAATAATACAGAACGATCCTAATGAATGAGTCAACTTAAGGCCTTAGCAGAACTGGCGGATTTATAACCTTGAGACAATATTCCGCGTCCTAAATCTCCGTGTAAATTACCATTCTCTTATTTTGTTTTTAATCATACCGTGGTTTGTCATTAATCAGAATGGCTTTTTAATTTAAAACTCCGGACACAAAACTCTAAGTCTTATTGCACGTTATTTGAAACAAAAACTTAAGGGGGTTTCCGACCCTGAGGCTTCAAAAAATCAATTTTTTTTTCAAATTTTCGAAAGTTTATGCTGTGATAGCGCTTCTTGCTATGATGCATACCTTCACAGATAACAGGTTGTAACATTTCGAATAGACCACCTTGTATACGTAAATAATGTACAAGAAATATTCCAAGTGTGTACATATATGCGTATAGTATACATTATTTGCATAACTTAAGTATACACGTTCTGTACATTCTTTGGAAATATATAACATATAGGGTGTTGCATCAACATACGATTCATTACGAAGGGTTGCCTGCGGGAAGGCGCGCACGTCCGGATGATAATTCCTTGTCGTTATCGACTTGTCGATATAGTCATTCGCATACCTTTCCAACGAAGTTCTAACGTTCCTAATTATCATGATTCCATGTCCGCATCATGATCGATTAGGAGCCAAGCAACATTGTATATATAAAATATTGTAAAATATAAGAGGCATGAAACAGCATGGGATCAAACAGAATAATTAAGATTAATAAGTGAATAGGTGAATAAAGTATATAATAGTCCTATACAGACATATATAATATATATTTAAACATAGATATATATAAACAAGATTCGTATATAATCATTTTTCCCCGGGTTGTTTCATACTTACCAATCAATCAGGTCATCATTAAGATCATCTTCGCGAAATGTGCGAGTCAGCAACTTTCCCGGTAAGCAAGAAATCACTAACGCAACGTTATCACAATGTTGTTTTACAACATGCTACGTTTTCAAATATGTAGCTCTTAATGTTGCATTGACGTCATTGTTAACGGTATTTGATTGAAACGTTAAAAAATAATGTTTACAAACATTTATAAAATATCACGTCAGAATGTTTACAAAATCCACATGAAATCAATGTTTCGAATAATCGATTCAACGTTTCTTGCTTACTGGATCTGGATCGATGAAAATTCACCGACAGTCGGCGAAAAAACGAGAGAGAGAAAGAGAGAGAGAGAGAGAAAGAGCAGTTTGTCATTCATCGACAGGTGAGTCGATTTGATTTTTTCTTCTGTTTTTCTTTCTTACATCTTTTTCTTTTTTCGATTCGAAAGCGATTTTACATCGGTTGCGTGTGATGAGTATGCATATCAGGAAGTGCCGCGGTAAGAGCCGCACGTTAGATAGAAGACTTATAAATATCCCGCTCCACGCTCAATATCGATTTTTAATATACCTCACCTTATAAATATTAATTCCAAGGAAAATGGAGGCGCGCGCGTACACTCGATAAACATTATTCTACGTACGTAACGTCTGCCTGACTATCCATGCGTTATCCGACTATCTATCCACCCAGCCGACTTCGTTCGACTAACCCTGTCAGCACGATGCATTATATCAACTTACACGCTGGTCTCTTCCAGGTATCGCCTCCGCCGTCGGAATACTAAACATCGGCAACCCGTTTCGCATACCTCCGCTTCCCTGGGGACCACCGGGCACTGCGATCCACCGGAACGTCAATGTTTCAACAACCAACGTTGTACGGACACTCAGGACAAACGGATTACCTCTTTTGTGACAAGAGTTTTCTTCCGTGTATCTCGTATTCTGATGGTAAACACCCAAGCAAATACTGTGCTATTTTGTAGAAAAAAAACTCCGTTGAGCCGGAGAACCGCATAACGGGAATCCTATGAAGGTCAGAAAGGAATCAAGGAAGACTTTCACTGGCAAGGTCAACGTCAACGCGGGCAAACTGCCGGGACTCTTTTTCACAAGTGACGAACGATGGAGATCAGAGCGTAATTTCGATAGGTGCATACAGGAACTGGGAAGAAGGCAAGAGAGACTGCAATTTCCGGGAGGCGATCGCTAATGTACGTATCGGGCAGTTGGCGGGCAATGTCGCGCGAACACGACAAGGAGTTCGCAACGGGAATTGGAGGCACGGTGTTATATGACGTTTCACTTAATGACGATGAAAGGCCGTCGCTCGCAATTAACAGACATGTCGTAATGCAAGACCGCTGAAATTTCGTGCGTCGACACTTTGACAGCGAGTGTATGCAAAACGATCCCGAAAGTCGGCAAATAATCGAAATTAAGCAAAGAACCGAGAGATCAGCCTCGTCTCCGGTAAAATTAAATTGCCGATTTGGAAAGAGCGTAATTAGATTGCGGAAACGAGCGAAAAGTAAGTTAGTATGTACGATGATAGAATCGACGGTCATCGATTAAAAACAGTGAAACCTGCGCAGAAATAAAGGGAAAAATATAAATTTACCACTTCTTCGCTATCTTATTCGTGCATTAAACCGCATCAATCGACCATACTTCTGCTTTGCTCGACGGAAAAGTTGGCGCTCGCGTTCTTGCGTATCAAACGATCAAGCTTTCACGAATCGATCGGCGGAATTGCGGGCCGATATGTAAAATGAAGATCGAGTCAGCAAGATCGTGTTTCGAGAAATGGAATGACTCGTTGTCGGAGGCAACTTTCAAGTTACGACAGGTACGCAGAAAACTGATAGGATACGTAACGAATTAATTACATGGTTTATTTTATCCGAGTATGTATAAATATACATGTAGCAGCCGTGGAAATAAATCTTTTTTTTTTTGTTTGCATATGTAGATACATATATGTACTTGTATACATGTATGTAGTTATATACACATATAGATAAATTAATTAACGAATAAGTGAAAATTATTAATCGTCGTGTGTGTATATAGCACATTGTAATATTTCATTGTGACTGCTACCTTTTTTAATTTGTTAATGTTGAATTTATCAAGGAAAGAGAACATTACCTTTCTCAAGTTGAACGTAATCTGGTGTGTGTCGTGAAAGGGAGATAAAGGAGGGGGGGGGGGGGGGAAAGACAGATATAGATGACCCCGAATCAGCATAAACGTGGACTTGTATCGAAGCAAACACCGCGGACATTTCGCGGCGGTTTGATCAGTGTCATTAATTCTTCCAGGCGTTTTCTCTGCCACCTTAAGAGCTAATTATCTTAGAATAGGAGAAACAACATGATAATAATACGACAGCTTATCATATACAGTAGAAAAAAGAAACGGGACACGGCAAAAACACGTATTGCCGAGATCAATAATCTTGTACGGAATCGTAATTGTTGTACGGAGGCGGGTCGGGTCGACCTTCCGGAATCCGGTATTTTTCCTCCACCTCTTGATCGTTATCATCCTCATACTTCACGGCGGTAAAGTACGGACCTGACGTCGGGAACGTGTTGCTATAGTCTGGATAATCTGGAAGAACAAATTTCACGTAAACATTCCTCCCCGACGTCGGATTTTGAAAATAGGGGAAAAAAAATTAGCGTTTCTCTTCGCGAGAATCGTTCCATCTTAACGCATTGGCCAACCGACTGAGCAGATCTACCCTTTTCCCGATGATCGCCGATCGACCGATCAACCGAAACTTTCGATGATTCTGGAAGAAAATTCTCACATTTTTACTTTTAGATTTCATCATATTGGCTTCTATGCTGCGAGAAATGAGAAAAATGATAAAAATTCAAATTTATATTTACATCTGCTTCGTAGATGATGTCCGATCAAAGAGACAACAGTCCTTTCAGAATTTAATCGCGGTTGTATTATAGCGACATACTACCTTCAACTTTGTGAAGAACCATTTTTTTTTTCGCAACACGATAAGTGGAATTAATATATGCTACACGTGAAAGACCCATCTTATCTCTCCTCGTAAAAATTCTGGTCGAGATATACGAGGTTAGGTTGAAAAGTTTCCGACCTGACCAAGAAAGAGCAGGAGTTCAGTGAAGTTTCAATACTCGTTCAATAGATGGCATCGGAATAAAACACAAAGAGCTAAGTTCGATGTCATTCCAGCGATTAGTTAGTTTCGGACAATTTGTCAACAATGGAGAAATAGGAGTATCGCGTGGCGATAAGACTCTTTCGTCCAAAACGGAGAACCCTTACGGAAATGAATGCCCGAATTAGATTCAGTGTATGGAGATGCTGCTCCTTCGCTCACTTGAAGAGACAAATATCATTCGGCTGCAAAAAATGTCCTTTCCTCTTCGTCACGTCGGGAACTTTTCAATCTACCCTCGTTCACGAAGCGTACGCTTTTCAGAGCCTGGTAAGGCACTTAAATAACTCGCGCGATTGGCAACATGTTGTTAGCCAAACTCACCGTCCATAGGCTCTTCCTTAATTCGGATCTCTTTCGTGTCCTCGTCCTGACGATCGCCGCGATCCTTCCTGTCCCTACGATCACGATCCCTGTCACGCTTGTCCCGCTTACGATCCCGGTCGCGATCGCGATCATTGCTCCTCGATCGCCGCCTCTTGCGATCCCGGTCGCGATCGCGATCCCGGTCGCGGTCTCTTCTGTCGCGCGGCCGTTCGTCCCGCTGAATCTCCTCGATGTCAGGATCCGGCAGCCGGTCGCGACTTCGCCTGCGCTTGCGGTCGCGCGATCTACTCCTGCTTCTGCGCTTGCGATCGCGCGATCTCCGGCGTTCTCTGTCCAGCCGGTCGCGATCCCTGTGAGCGATCAAACGAGTCAGATCGATCGCTCGAGTTCAGATTGAACCTGAAATAACTAGAAAAGCGAGAGCTCAGTGAAGATGTGGGTCTCACCTGTCTCTGTCGAGGCCACGTCCCGAGGTTTCTCTCTCACGTTCCAGACGGTATCGCTCCCGTTCCCTCTCGTTGTCCTCCCGGCCCGAGTGCTTGATGTTGACGTCGGGGCCTCCCCGGCGGGTGCCGCCTAAACCACCACCGAGTCTCCGTGGCAGCCAGCCCTTTACCGTTCTCGCGCGCTCGACATCGACCAATACTCTGCGACCATCTATTTTCTTACCATCCGCATGCTTATAAGCAGCTAAAAGGTACCGAGTCAGGAATTACTCTTCGCCGGCGGTTCCACGCGCCTAAATAGATTTATGTGTCTACAGCGAGGTATCGGTTTCTAGGCCCCGATGCGAACGGGGACCGCGTCCCGAGGACGTAACGCGCGAGGGAAAAGGTTTCGGGAACCGCGACTCCTGGAGCGTCAAAGCGTCTTCGAGAGATCGCGTAATCCGCGATTCTGACGATCACCGGGGGGCGTCACCGGATCCGGGAATCTTTGCGGACGAAGTCCCCGAGAAACAAGGATTCCGGGATCCGCCTCTGCCCGATGATCCACCGATCCTCGAATCCGCGAATTTTCGAAGCCCACGCCCTCCACGACTGGCGGATCCTCGAACGGGTAGTTTCTAGGATCTTCAGGATCCTACAATCCAATCCGGTTCTCAGACTTATGGAACCTTGAAAAAAAAATGAAAAAAAAAGGGGGGAAAAAAGTCGAGCAGAATCTACAGATGCTAGAATTCGTGCGGACCGTCCGAACGTGCGGATTCTCCACTTCGCCACGGGGAGAGACCGTGGGGTCTCGAGAATCTGTCGATATTGTTCAGACTCGCGCGAAGGTCGCGTCTTCGATCCGTCTAGATTCTAGAATGGAATATTCAGAAAATCTCAGGTCACGCGTGATGTACGCTTCAATCTGCGAGTCGAGCGGACGTGTCGCCGGATCCGGAGGATCCTTAGAGAGAAATTCCCAAGATATCCGTGTCACTTAGGCGGTGATGGAATCGGTGAGAAGAAGAAAAGGGGAATGATCGAGTTGAATTTCGCTCGAGACTTTCGAGAAGCCGGCGGCTGCGGACGAGCAGCCGTTCGAAGGTACCGTCGTGCGTTAGAATCGAGCAGGATTTGCAGATCGCTGATCGGGCGATGCCCGAATACATCCTGAAGGAGGTGGTTCGTTGAGGAAGTGTCTACGTCCCGACTACTGTCGATGCTGCCCTCCCGGCAGGATCAACCAGACCACCAATGATTATCGTAGAGTCTTAGCGAATGACGACGCTGAAGTGGCAAGATAGTCGTGTGAATCGCAGCAGATCGTGCGCACTCCCGCTTCGCCGGCGCGCTTTGCCATTTTACACGTAAAATGCGAGGACAAGATCGACGTGAAAAGCAATACAAAGTATTACATTCTCGTCATTACGAACATTAATCGCGAAAATCAAATCACCTACGTTTCAAACGACGACGCGTAAGAGCGCGCGACTCGTAAAACAGATCCTCCGCTGGGAAAAAGCAACGAGATACTTACCGGGGCTCAAAGTCGACTTGTTACGAAGTTACGAAAGTGAATACTCAAACACTGAACTTTTAAACAAGGACGATATAGACTCTGCATTTTAGAAATTATACTTACATAATTAACGTAATTAATATAAATATATAGAAGTGAAACGGAGCAATTCTTCCCCCCTCTTCTTTGTAAACCGAATTTCTCTTTCAACAAGTAATCACCTTTCTCAAAAATCAAAATTCTCGCGATGAGTCGCAACATTTCCGAAATGTAAGTTACATACAAGTGACACTTTACGATGTAGAATGGAGGCGCGCGCGGCACAAGCGGCAGCCGCAACCCGCGTACGGCGACCAAAGGGCAAGGGGGGTGCTGTTCGAACTGTTCTCTCGGAGCAGCTTAAATCTATTTGCTGTTTAAGATCCAAAAAAGTATTACAAATACAAAAAATACCTACCGCGGCTACTTACGTACGGAAGTTAACACAAAGCTTAGAGGTACGGTCTAATCGTGAAATGAACTCGTGTAAGAGACTCGCGGGGAGATTACTCATTGCGAAGATGCCCATGTCTTCATACATTCGTTCGTTCGTTCGTTCGATCTCCGAACATTGCATTTACCTGGTGCGCTTTCTCTTCGTTCTACTTACGACCAAACCACGTGCGCATTTCTTTTCTCTCGTACATACTTATGGTACGTTACAATCATCTAATATAGTAGATTACATTTATATCGTAATATATTAAGGGCGAGGTGTCGCGAGATTTTCTAATATGCTTCGCTAAACTCGACTTCATTTGTTTTCTGACCTCTGAAGGGAGAAGAGAAGTTCACTTGCCGGTGTTCGATGTTCCCGGCGCCGCAAATGCGCGATCGTGGGATCCGAATACCCTCCCCCCCCTCCCCGCCCTGAAGTAAAATCGTGACCCGGATCTGGAGGATTTCATCGTTCTTGCATTCCAGATCTCTCGGGTATATCGTGACACCCGGGAACTTTGGAACTCCCAAGGACTCGGATAATCGACTCAGATCCGTCGATTCCTCGCAGGGCCTGGAGATCTTACAATCCGGCAAATGCAGCGTGTGTTATCCCAATCCGCGCTTCCGCGGAGTGTTGCGAAACGCGAGAGGAACGACCGATTCACTAAGAGCAATTAGTATTCTATATCGAAATTGATATGTTCAAGGACTTATGCGCGCGGTTACTTTCCGATCGTTTCCTTCAGATGCGAGTGTTCATCAAGCTTTTCGACCAGTGTCATCGCACTTTCGATACACTTTGTACATCCGTCGTCGTTCATGCAAATTCTGTGCCTTAAATCTACTAACCAACTATTTTCACACATTCAAAATCAATCGGAAAAAAAAATATATATATATATACATATATATATATATATATATAATCGTTGCCGCATATCAATCATATCACGCTCTTTCGGCGTTAACTCAGTCCCTAAATTCCCTGACAAAAACTCCCATGCCTGTGACTAGAAAACTTAAACACTTTTAAAAGTCGCTAACGCATGTAAAGAAAAAGTCCTAAATACACCCGACGATAAAAATGTGTCGGGACGAAATCTAACTGTATCGGCTAATTAGTACGAGCTACACTGTACGTTTCGTGTAAAATGTGTAGGATACATACCACCAGGATGGAACTTCATTTTAGAGTACCTCAACGCAATAATAATTATCAGGAGAACCAATGCCATTCTATGACACAGGGAGAAAGCAAATGTCCGTTCACATGTAAGACATTTATCCTTCTACCTTCGAGCCAAAGAATTACGACGACTGCTCTAATTGCAAAATATTGCTCTGCCGTTTATATGTCCGTACGTGTCTGCTTGTGTGTGTGTGTGTATGTAAATGTGTATGCAAAATGTTCTCAATATCTTCGCTAAATTCACTCCCGTACAAGTGAAACACCTGATAGATACGCGGATGAAGCGTGTGCGCGTGTCCCTGAACCTTCATCCTAGGAGCCCATCAATCAATTTCAATGTAGAATGCTAACTTTCACGCAATTCTCGGATCCGTAAGTACGTTAACGTCCGCGGATCCTGACAGCCCCGTAGATCTTACGGGCTGTTCGGTACTGCTGATCGTACAGGATCCACGAATCCCCGAATCCACGGATAGAGTTTTCAGCAGGAACGTGTTCTAAGAGAGAAACTTGGCCGGATACGTCAAATACGGGTCGGAAGGCCCCCCGTAAAAGAGCGTGGCGGGTGTCATCACGGTCGCCCGGGTAATCATCTGACCGAAACCGCGCGTGTCGCTCGATAAAAATTCAGACACGTTTAATAGGGTAAGCAAGTAAGACGCTAGCAAACGTTGTTGTATGTTGGATCTTACCACACATACAAACCTATCATATCAGGCAGGTTCAGGGATTTTGCATGGAATAGTGAACGGCACTAGTTGCCGGCAGCGGCCACCACGCTGTACCAAGAACAAGATAAAAACTGCATTAATCAAAGACAGCCAATAAACGTTCACGTTCATTTTGTTTGTGTTTCGTTCATACGTTTGTTCTCATTCGTTTTTCGCTTTTCACCGTATTTACGTATTTATCTGAACGGTATTCCTGCATGGGTGTGCGTATGGCGGGGACCCCCCCCTAAACGTCTGGTTTAAGTCAACCGATAAAAACGGGGCGTCTAGCCTAACTACATAGCCCTGTCCCCACTAAATCTAGCTGAAAGTGACGCTAAATAAGGGTAAATTTTCCAGACTATACGGGACACGTTGAATTTTCGCGACACAAGGGTGCATTTCTTTTTTTTTTTCTCCCTTTTTTCTCTCTTTACCTCTCCATGCTGTTGTTACTTACAGTGCATATCTCGTTCGTGCTCATATTCAATGAAAGCATATCCTCGAGGCTTGCCATTAATTGTATTATGTATTACCACAATCTGCAATGAGAAGGGACGGAAGTTTGTTATCGTTGAATTACCGTGATGAAAAATCATCGCGTCTACTCTGGAGAAAATAGTTACCTTTTTTACCGGTCCGTATACCTCAAATTCTCTTCTAAGCTTAGATTCTGAAGTATCATAGTTCTATAAGAAATATGTGCATTTTAATATACAGTTGTATATACTTACTCAATATAACATTATAAGACACATTTGCTATTACTAAGAAACTGTTCTCAAGACTTAAGTTTATTTTCAGATGCTGTATGGCTCATTTCATTGGCTACGAAGCATCTGAAGATGAACCTAAGGTCTCAAATATAAGACCGACTATGAAAACCAGCCATAATTAGGCAAAAATTATCAGTGCCATATATCTATGATATTGGTTCCTAGTAAGAAATCAGAGATAAATGTCTTATACTAGTAACAAATGTGATGAACATCTAATACGTTTTATGAATATACTTAATATGCTCGTTTTTTTTTTTACATGTATAAATATTAATATTACAATAGAACTTACAATACGAGCTACAAAGAGAGTCTTGAAGGGATCCGCCGTTACATTAGAAATACCGGCTGGGTCCCACACCGCAATCTCCTGCTCAAGTTTGTAAGCAACTTGCTCCGCGCGTTCCCTTCGCCTACGTTCGAGACGTTCCTCTCGAGTCTCCACACGTACCGGTGGTGGTGTTTCCTTCGGATCCTAAGGAAAAAAGATTACTTTCAATCAACATGTTCCATACCCCACGAATCACCGGTGACCCATACCAAACCTTTCCATTCGAGCTACTTGATATTTTGGCTCTAAACCGAAACATAACCGAGCGAAGTACTCTGATAATTATTACGAGACGCATGTTAATTGACAAGTAAAATTTAGCTCATAATATAATTTAGGTCATCGATGACTCGCGCAATATGAGTCAAATTGATCTAGCACGGATCGTGTTAAAATATACTAACGCATAACAACACTCATCTCCGGTAACAAATCACTTGCAAGATTTAAAAGTAAGCAAAACTACACTGATTTTCCAGATTTGTCAAATAAATGACTAAAGGCAACACCCGATGCTCTCGCATCCTGCGTATCTCGTTCGGCACAACCCGTAATAGCGGGAAACAAATATTATACAACTGAACGAACACAACTTTTTGTCCTCGAAATAGTTCGCTCGCTGTGAAAAGGAACATAAGCGTAGCACGAATACAAGCCGATTCGGGGGGGGTTAAGCGTTCGACTCACCTCGAAGCATTTGAGAAACGACCCGACTCCAATGTAACCGCCGACCTTCTTCTCGTGCGGGAGTTTGCTAGCCGGTGGCAGATACGGGATCGGGTCGCGCGGCGCGAACAATGCCAGCAAATTCGGTGGTAGGAATTGAGTCATCTCTTCGAAAGCCGGTAAAAATTACTCCAATGCAGAGCGCAGATGGAACGTACCGTTCGCCGAACGAATAAAACAACCGGGATCAACGCGACAACCTCGCGTATGTCGATAAAATGGCGCCCAAGCAAGTTATCTTCGGTCCGTTCTTTTTAGCTGAACCGGTGCGACAAATTAGGGAGAATTCATATCTAGACGGCAAAAGCAAAAAGCAGAAAAAAAAAAGGGACTAATAAGTGCTTTCTATTTAATGTTTCAATCGCCACACAAGTCGACACAAGCATCATTTCGTCTTCGTTCCACATCCAATGAGATTGGATTGAAATTTAACGAATCAAAGAAAAGTTCACTAAATTCAAGTTTAGTGAATCTTGTTCTGATTGGCCAAGTTTTAATTCAATCTTGATCCTAATCCGTAGTTTGATACAGACTTAAGGCCTTGTGTCCACTAGATCTATACTAGATCTCCAACCGAGATTTAGTATTTATGTTAGTTAATGTTTGAAAGGTACTGTTCGAATTTCCATTTTTAGGGCTTCCAGTAATTTCTAGTATTTTTACATCCGACCAACAACTCGATCCGAAATCTAGCATTATGGACACAAGGTCTGAAAAGGTGCGTTCCACTTAACGTTCGCAATCGTTGCGAGCGTTAAGTGGAACCTGCCTAAAGTGAGTCGAGAATATAGACCAATGACTTTGCTTAGCAACATTTTGCCTCTAGAAAGAAAATTTTCCCATTGGCCGTTGCGAGCGTGTAGTATTCCTATCATCCAAAAGAGACCTCTGGTGTCTGATTTTTATCGCGTTATCTATGCAGCCTATGTTTAATGTTCATTTTTTGTCGAAGTACGGATGTTACCCCTTTACGGCATTATCCTTTGAAAATAATTGCATTAGGTAATGATTACAAATTATTAATTGTTCTACAAATCTCTCTTTCATCTCGGGACTCTGTTGACATCCATTTGTACTTGTCGTTAACCAATTATTCAGCCCATCGAGCGACGTTTCATATTAGAAGGAAAACGTACATTCGACGTTTTATCGTTAACCTTCGTTTTAACCTTTCATAACCTTCAAAATAAGTACGAAAATAATACACGTTATATATACACACACACACACATATTTTATATATATATATATATATGTGTGTGTGTGTGTGTGTGTGTGTGTGTGTGTTATTACTTTTGACTCTTTTCGTTAAATATTATAACCTCCAAAATACACACGAAAATATACACGCTTTTAATAATGTTGCATCCTGCATTATTCGATAGAATATGCGTAAATAAACACAAAGGACTGTTCCGTTCTACTTATAGACTTTCACGGCAGCTTCGACTCCTGCTGCCACGGGACGATCATTCCTCGAAGTAGCCACGCAGATGTCTGCATCGATCGCTCTCGAAAGATAAGTAATTAAACTTTTATTATTCGTTGCGACATTAAATATCTCCTTGACGAAATTCGACGTGAGAAAGTGTTGCTTCAACGAACTCGCACGAATCAACACAGATCTTAGAGTTTTGCAATTTACAATTTGCAATGTCAAGGCACAAGCGCTAACGGCACACCGACATAAATTAATCGCTACTATTGTCAGCACACATCGTAAATAATAATGTGGAGAACAAGGGTATTGCTACAACAGTGTGGGCTATAAAAATTAGTACTCGTTCGATTTCAAGTAATAGTTTAATTCCAAGGTAATAATGGCGCTGCTATTACGCGATCATATAAAATAATGCTGCTACATTCCCGTTTCGCCGCGCAAAGCGAACACGTAAGACTCTAATCGACACGTTTAATCGCATGTATGACTAGCAATATAGAAACATGTACACAGGCTGAGAAAAAGATTTCTTCAAATTTAATCAATTTCGTCATCGGCATGCTCCGAAGAAACTAACGTTTCGATTAACAAGTACAATCGTTAGACTTTCCAACGAATATGTATTTTTATTTAAAATAAAAAAAAATTTGTTCGAAACGAAAGATAATTTTCTTACAAGGGAATTATTTCTTTCATTTTACATATTTATTGTAACCAGATATTTTATTTGGTTGAAAGATATTATTTCAAACAACAGCGTTCTTTCGGTTGAATAAAGGAATTTTCTCGAATGGGATGATACAATTTTTACTCAAGCAAGTGATATTTCGTAGATGTTGTTTCTGTGAAACAAATTTCAGTCAAATAAACAGAAATACTGAATTTAAAGGAAGCTTTTTCTTTCTGTGTCTATATTGCGGTAACATTGTTGAATATGAAATTATAACATTGATGCAAAGTTACTTTTCTGTTTGAAGTTACGTAGCTGCGATTAAACGCGTCGACCGGGACGTGGTTATGCAATCTCAATGTCGCATTCGTGCTGAAAAATCACGCAACAATACAGACGAAGACGTTTGCCGTTTCCTTTGACGTTTCCGCAATCTCGTCGATTATCGCTCGGTTTAACTACACATTATGTAATGACGACCATTACGCATAATTGCGATCGGCTTCGACGCACTTCCGTGTAAACCGGGCCCTCGTCTACCTGTCCCTTTCATTAACTGGAGTCATCCGGCCCATCGAGCGACATTTAACATGAAAGAGAGGACGGTATTGCATGTTTCACCATTATTACCCCATGATTCGACGTTACAACTTCCAAAATATACACGAAAATGCGCATGTGTACATACACATACTCGGAAAAAAAAGCTCAATTCCTGCATGACTGAATAAGAACCAAAGGAAGATTTCGTGACAAAAAATATATCTCCATCAGCGTGAATAGAAAACTCCTCTACAGGAATATTTCTTTTCCTACAACCGAGTTGAGGAAAGAGGAATCCCACGAAAATTATAGTCATTTTCTGTCTCGATTATTTATATCTTCTATTAATGATATCTTCTTCTGGTTCTAATTTTAAAAATAGTGGCAATGTGCGTGTAAAGTTATTATCCCAAGTATTCTAGTAATACTGCATGTCAAGTTATCATCCCAAATATTGTACTAATACCAAAAAATGGTAAGTAAATCGTAATATCCTTCTGATACTACAATTCTTTCACTTATATGTGCGACTACAGTTACTAACACCAACAATGTTGTCTCAGCGCGAGTTTTCGTCTCGATCACCGGGCAACCGGAAAATTCAGTTACATCACGATAAAAATACGGTTCTACGAGTATCGAGTATCTCACTTCGTATGTTCTACGGTCTCGAGTATTCCACTTCGTACGTTCGACAGAAGAATGAACAATTTCACCCGACAGACGCGCGCGACGTTATCGTCACTTCGTCAACAATATCACTTATCCCAGGGATAAAGGAGCATATAAGGACAATCAATATCCAATAGGGCTCGGTATCAGAGCTCCAAGCCCCCGATGACGCAAACTGCAATGTTAGCGAAACGTTGACAGAACGCTGAAGATTTAAGACGCGACACACCTCCGGAAGCAACGCAAGTGGATTGTACCAATGACCGCGAAAAACCTCAAGACTAGAACACCACTTACATCCCTTTAGGAACAAAAAAACATCCGAAGCAGCACACGATATCCCACGGACGTCCTGTGAACGCCCTTGAGGACATCGGGACGTCCTCAGGATGTCCCTCAGGAGATCTGTGCTGTGTCTGGGATATAACTTATTCACGTTCAGTATATGTTATCCCGTCATTATCGTACTTCGAGTAGCCTCGATTAAACGTATGGGAGGGCGGGAACCAAAGATAAAATTGTAATAATAATTTCATCCAAAGTTGTAGTAATAATTGTAACGAAAGAGCGCGTCCGTAGGTCGACGCGACGCTGTCGTGCATTTCCTGCGGCCGGCCGAACTGCAGCTCGCACGCATGCGAATGTTCTGGGGTCGGTTTGGTGGGCCGTGCAATTGTATCGGGAAAATCAGGATGCGAGGGCGCGCGACGGACACGTATTTCCCGGCGATGCCACCGAGTTCTGCCGCGGAACGCGCCGAAATATAACGTCGAATTCGGCTGCAGTGCCGCGCGCGCGCGCGGCGTCCCGCGGCGCATACGTTGCACATACGTGCCGCGCGACGAATGCGCATTCCTGCGTGCTGCACGCGTGTCGAATAAAGAATACCCGCGCGTACATCGTCATGCGTCGCGCACAGCTCTCCGTGCCCGAGAGCTGGTATACTTCTGGATGTATCGTCGATCTATCGTCTTCTTCTCATTTGTCCCTTTTTTTCTTCTTTCTTTCCTTCTCGTCTCTTTCCTCTCGACGCTGCACCGCGAGGAATCCTGTTGAATTACAGTCACTTTCGGCTTCAGCTGTATCCTCTTCTGCTCTCCGGCCTGAAAAATAGCACACCTCTGGAGAAAAAGGTATCTGGTATCTAAAGAGAATTCCATTGTTTGTTTTCCACTGGATACACACTGAGAGAAAGATTTCCCCGGATTTAATCAATTTCATCGCACCCAACAAATTTCATATATATATATATAAGTGCGCCAATGTGCAGCGCGAATATTCGCGTGTGTCACATCTTGCGCTCGCTAGAAGGAATGACGAAGAGGACGACGATAACGCGGACATCGTTGAGTGAATAACGAAACGATCCCGATTACACGTCGCGTTACGATCAAATCGAGATTTCAACGGACATACACACATACACAGACCGGCGGGCGGCGGTCGTGCGGACAACTTTCGGCGCGGTTGGTCGTGAAAGGTAGGTGGTGGACACAGAAATAAAAGACCTTTCTATTCGATCGCCGCGCCACGGGAACCGGCTGGCAACTTACTACTCGATTTGTCGCTAATTTTAAACGGAACGCCCGAATGTTCGCGCGCACTCGCCCGCGACTCGCCTCGCTTTGGCGTTTCGGCGCGAAGCGCTCGTCGTAAAATCGGCATCGTTGAATCAACGTAAGATCGAATTGACGACAGCACTATGCCGGAGCGAGAGGAATTCGCGTGCGAGGAGATTCCGGAGGAGGATTATCGCGCGCTCTCGTAAATCCATCGAGGAGAGGAAGGCGCGAGTCGCGACGATGAAGAAGAGCCGCGTCGGGTCGACGCAGAGTCGGTGCGAGACAAACCCAGGATCGCGCTAGGCGTACTTCTTAGAATATGTGCCGGTTTCCCGGTGGCGGCGGCCATCTTGCGTT